AGGAAAGTTACAACTATAGGAAAGAGGGATTGTGGCAAGTGAACTAAATCTCACAGATCCTTCGGGAAGCATTATGCTGTCAGAGGTCTTGCATTTACCTTTATAGTGCAGTGTTTCTAAGATTTCAATACACAATTGAGCAACAATTAAGTAGTTTTATTAGATGACCACTTGTTTTTGAACATTGAGTATATAAATAAATATTTATGCCTGTATTTCCTACCAATTAGGAGATTAAGTGTAAATAAATAAGAATATACATTTTAAAGGTTTAAGTAGATGCGCAACTAACATATCAACAATCTCTTTCTTGTTATATTAATTGTCTAGAGTTGCTGTAACAAAGCCATAAATTGCATGGCTAAAACAACTGAAATTTATTTTCTCACAGTTCTTAAGGCTAGAAATTCAAGCTCAAAGTGTCAGCAATGTGAGGCTGTCTCTGAGGGCACTAGGGAAAGGTCTGTTCAGGCCTCTCTCCTACCTTCTGTGGTCTGTTGGCTGTGTTGGGTGCTTCTTGGCTTACAGATATGTGCCTGCCTCATCTCTGCCTTCAGTTTCAGTTGGCATTCTCTCTGTGTACCTCTTTCTGTGTCTGAATTTTCACATTATGTAAGAACAGAAGTCATATAGGATGAGAGATCCGCCATGTTCCTTGTGTGATTTCATCATAACTAATTATGTCTGCAGTGATCTTATTTCCAAGTAAGGTCTCATTCTAAGATACTTCTAAGGTTAGGACTTCAATATATGAATATTTAGGGGTACAATTCAACTCATGACATTTTCTAAATAAGGTAGTCACATTTTAGTCCTGTCTTCCCTGTCCTCTCTGTACTTCGTACTATCAGCCTACTTTGTAAAATACTCGCTTTCCATGACTTACATGACATTTTATTTTCAGCCTATGCCGTATCCCTTTAATTAATTAAAAAAATACATATTTTTAAAATTCATTTATTCATTTCTTCCATGAGTGAGAGAGGCAGAGAGAAGGTGGGAGAGACACGACCTTCACCAGTGTCCCCACACCGTGACCCAGCCCCAGTCAGCTCAGATCATGGGTGTATATGTGTCCAGTATACTCTGGGAGCTCTCCAGGGGCATACCCAGGACCCTTCCAGTGTGTGTTAGGCTTAGAGCACCAGGTTTTACTGCAGTGCTGCCACCCAGCCCTCAAATTTATATTATTTTAGAAATTAAAAATTCAGTTTCTCGGTCACACTGGCTGTATTTCAAGTACTCAGTAATCAAATAGCTGGTAGCTGTTGTACTTTAGTCACTGTAGAAAATTCACTTGGACAGCACTGCTCTAGCTACATGTTCTTTCTTTTTCATTCTCCTTTCTTTCTGGTTTAGCTTTTAAATATCAATGTTTTTCAGCACAATTTCTCTTCTCCTCAGGTCTTGAGTAACTAATAACTTTCAAATCTGTCAGTAGGCCAGATCTCTTTCCTTGTGGTTCAAGAGCTTATAGCATAGAACTTCAAGAACTTCTGCCCGTCTTCACTTAGATACAGGCAACAGTCTTACCATGCCCCAAGTGACCTCTCCCTAACCCACCTTACTCTTTGGTTGTCATGAATTCTGCAGGTGAAGCTGGCAGTGAGAGATGGGAAACTCTTCTAGAAACTGTCTTCACAGTAAGCAGATGTCCAGCAACAAAGTCTCTGTAAAGCAGGACTGGTACATGTTTAGGAAATAGGGAATAAAGATCATGCCAAGAAATGTTGAATTGAATTGAATTCAGTTCAGTTAAACCATGTGCCACAGTATTTCATGAACTGTCAGAAGACTTTTATATTATTAGAATAAGTAAATCAGAGACTAATGAAAGTAACAAACTGGAAATTAGTAGGAAGCGAGAGGAATTGAGTGACAATGTGAAAGCATTTGGTTTGGTGCTTGGCTAAAAGCAAAACCTAAATATGTGTTATGATTAGTAATTAAAAGTTATTGTGGAGCCAGTAGGTGGCGGTAGTGCTTAAGATGTTGGACTCTCACATGACCAACCATGGTTTTAAGTCCCGGGTTGGCAGCTTGAAAATTGTGCCAAGTGTGTGTGTATGTGCCCAAAATCCCAAAAGGAGAATGGGCAAGAAAGGATTGCGATGTGTCCATGCACCGCGTGGGCTGATTTCTCACTTTCCTCTTTTCTGTCTCCAGTGAACACACATGCCCAAAAAAAAAAAAAACTAAGGGGCCAGCAGTTGGCATAATGGCTATGTCACTGGATTCCCATGTAGTTGACTGCGATTTGAGTCCCGGACACAGTAGCTTAAACTCGCGTCGGGCACGTGTGCATATGTGCCCAAAATCCCGAGAGGAGAAGGGATTGCGGCATGGCCATCCACCCCTGTGGGGGGCGTGGTTTCTCGCTTTCTGTCTCTCTGTCTCTCTCTGTCTTCCTGGCGAGCGCGTGCCCTATAGCATAAACCTCTCCAGAAAAACTAAAAAACAAACAAACAAAAAACAGTTATTGTAAGACCTCTGTGAAATTAATTTTTTTTTTTTACTTGTAATGAGGATTGGAGTTATGAAGCACTTTCACATACATTGTTTCATTTTATCTTAATTATCTAATAAGGAAGATAATACAACTGTCAGTCTTAATCCTGCTTACTATAATGTTAAGTCTTGTTAGTGAACAAAGTTCCTTGTATTGCTTGGTCTGAACTTATGGTTGACATTTGTCAGTTGTCTGCACTTCCCATACCTGCCTACAGAGAAAAGCCTGATTGTTCAGTATAGACACAGAACTTCCTCTCGGGATGATTGAGCAATGCTGACATCACAGGAGAGACATATCATCACTGCTAGGATTGTTTATGACAGAGAAACATACGATAAATAGTAAGAGAAAATCCAAATCTTTTTTGGGGATTCAACAGTAAAATTGAAGCTATTAAAGTAAAACAACTTAGTTAAAGACCAAATAGGAAGGCTTGAGACATTTAAACATGTGTAATTCCATGGTACAGTCTAACACTGGTTCTGTAAGATCATCAGTATTAGATGGAAAAGAACCCCATGAGCAGATAAGTTTGGGAAATGCTGGATTAAATGAGAGATTATGCTCTAGAAGATCTGCACACCTCTGACACACTCACATACACCACGCATCTCAGAGGGTTGCAGTATGTGGCATTAGCCACGCCTATTTGATCAGGAAACTCTTAATCTGTAGAGGCCATGGCAAAAAGACTATTCAGATTGTACTTTGATAAATGTTGATCTTTTATATGCATTTTCTGAAACATTTTTCTTAATAATAACCAAATGATATAGTAACATTTAAAAGACTACTGATATAAAATTATCAGTTGATGAGCCCTAATTTGTTTTACTGTTTTATAGCTAATGTGATATATTCTGAAAAGTCAGACTGTAACCAAGTTAAGAATTAATGATTTAGTGTGGAGGGAAGAAAAAAATACACAGCTTTTAAGTGAGTTAGTTATTGGGTGTTAAGCCGAAATCTTTTAGGTAGTATGTTAACAGACTGATGAACTTGATTAAGCGTTTCATCTTTTCTGTGCCACACTCCATTTCTATAGCTGGTGATACAAAAATGACAAGGCAGTCTCTGTATGCTGAGCTCTCAGCAGTCTAGTTTGTAAGAGAAACAAATTATTTTAAAGTACTATGAAGCTGCTGTAGTATCCTGAAAGAACCAGGGGATGGGAGAAGGGAGAGATTAAGTGATTGCATGTGACCTGGGGGTGTTAGTCACTGTGCATCTGAATCTAGTGTTCTTCCCACTACCTCAGACTGCTGCTTCACGGTACTCATCTTCATAGATTTAGTTTATGAAAAGAAGACATGTTTGCTCAGTGAGAGACTATAAAATCATACTGTTTTTGCTTCAGTGTTCTAGAACAGGGGTGGTGGTGATGAATTGTCTTTGGTTTTGTTTATCTGGAACTGTCTTAACTTTTCCATTTTCTTTTTTCTTTTAAGAGAGTGTGTCACTACCTCCTGCCTCAGTCTCCCTTGGAGCTAGGACTACAGGTGTGCATCACTGCACCTGACTTTTAGGGTGGGCAGGGAATTAAACGTAGGCCTTCCACAGGGCCTCACCCTGCCATGGAGCAGCATCCACAGTATGTCCTACTATGACTGGGCCTCCCTCATGCTGGAAGGATAGATTGCTGGATGTACAGTTGGCAGCTTGTGGCCTCGGACCTCCTGAGGAAAGTCAGTTTGCTGTCAGTTCGATGATCGGGAACACTAACACTGATCCCCAGTTAAGCCACGTGTTATCCCCAATAAAAAACAATTCTGTTCATCACATTATTAGACCTATATTAGCAAACGGCTTTACTCAGTTATTATTATTATACTTCATATTTCATCTATAAGGAATTTTATTTCCTGTCATGTAAGTACACTATCCTTAGTTTTTACCTCTTAGTGTCCAAAGCTCTTTTCAGAAAAAGTCTGCCAACTCCTATTCTGTGGGGTCGTTGGAAAAGGCATGACACATTTTCACATAGAAAAAATATGCCATGACTTTCTGTGACCTAATGAATACATGTTAGACGAGTAGTGAAAAGCATAGGAAGTGCAAGAAGAATGAGCCACAAACTTCTTAGATGTTTTATTTATTTTTATTTTTTTATTTTTTGAGAGGTTTCTGATAAAGGTTGCGTGCGCTTGCCAGAAGAGAAAGAGACAGAGAGACAGAAGCAAGAAATCACCCACCCAAGGGGTTGGTTACGCCGCAATTCCTTCTCCTTCATTCTTCTCTCGGGATCGTGGGCACACACACAAATTCATGCCCAGCATGAATTTAAGCCACTGGGTCCGGGACTCGAACCGTGATCAACTACATGGGAGTCCAGCAACATAGCCATTATGCCAACTGCTGGTCCCATTGTTGTTTTTATTAATCTACAGTTAATACATGATCCTACACAACTTCTTAAGTACCAAAATGTCTTATTGAGAAGATAAAATTTATGTTGGATTAAAGCTAGACAGAATAAAAACCAGCTTTCAAGAACATGGGAAGAACATGTTCTATCTTTAGAACAGCTCAGTAGAAATTCTCCTTCTGTGAGCTGATATACTAAGTGTGTTTTAACTAGTATCCCAGATTCCTTCTTATTTCCTCAAGTATCCTTTTGCATGTCTTTTTGAAAAGAGTCAGTCCCAAGGTTCAAGGGTGTTTCAGTTTGCATTTCGTATAGAAAAGACACAATTTTATCCTAGTGTAAAATGTTTTATAAAATAGAATACATTAGGGGCCAGCTAGTGGCATGGTGGTGAAGGCATTAGATCCCATATGGCCAGTAGCAGGGTTTGAGTCGCAAAAACGGCATCTTGTTTGCATGTATGTGCATGCCCGAAATTCTAAGAGAGTGAGGAAGGGGTTGTGGTGTGGTCATAACTCTGAAGGGTGATTTCTCATTCCCCCACCTTCTGTGTATGTCTTTGGTGAGCACATGTGACCTGTAGAAAAACTTAAAAAAAGAGAGAGAGAGAAGAGGAAGAAGACATTAACATACCCCAGACGCATTTTCACTTCCTGTCTCAGGATCCCCTTTATGTTGCTATACACATAAGAAAAACTAGGGGAAGGAAATCTGTTAAATTTAAAAAAAAAAAAAAAAAGCTTTGTCTAGTGATGTAAGACTAGTATAAGAGAACATAAGTGAGAATTCCATTTTGTGACATTAAATAGATTTTATTTCTCTTCTTCATCAATATCTGTTTATTAGAAATATTTTAAAAGAATAGTAACAAAAGCAATCGTACTCCACAATTAATGTGTATTTATTGTGCCAGACCCCATTCTGAACCCTTTACATGTATTCTTATTTTAAGTAGTGTATCAGTGGAGCGAGCTGTGTGGTACATCAGTAATGTGCTGCTCAGGACAGATCCCACATGGTAGCTGTGGTTCAAATCCCCACCTCACTTAGCCTGGAATTACTAGGCACAAGTGTAAGTGCCCTGGATATGTGAGACTTTGAGGACTGGAGAATGGATTGGGGCCTGACCAGACCCTGTGAAGGGTGCTCATCTCTCTGGTTTCTTCCTCATGTGCTTGTACATGCACATGCACACATTCTATCATGAATAGAGAGAAAAATTTTTTTGAAGATTTGTATTTGCCCAGCTTTGTGGTCTCGTTAAGGCAGCAGGATTCCACATGGCCAACCTGGTGGTTTGAGGCCCAGACCCTATGACTTGAAAACACGCAAGTGTGTGTACATGTACCAAATCCTAACAGGAGAAAAATGGAGGAGGAAGAATTGTAGTTTGACCATTTTCCAAGGGGAGTGCTTTTTCCTCTTCCTTTCTGTCTCTCTCTCTCTGGCAACCACATGTGCTCTCTAGCGAAAGAAAAAAAAAAGGCATTAACTGTAGGTACCGAGCATGCAAAAAGTAAATAAATAAAACTAAATAAAGATATAAAGAATAGATCTATTGATACATTGGTAGTGATTGGGAAGGCAATTCCTAATACAGATCTTCACCAGAATGCATTAATTCTATCCTTGGAAATTTATTTGAAAGAAATAATTCAGAGAAAAATCTACAGGTGTAAAAGTGTTTGCTAAAGCATTTTTTATTGTAGAGAATATTGGAAAAACTCAAAATATCCAAAAATAAAATAGTAAATAACATAATAATTTGAAAGACCATAGCCATAAAATCAAAAACAGGAAATCTGGAACAAAACAGAAAATTTTAATTATAAAATTTATTATGAATACAAATATATAAAAATATCAAGTAAATCTAAATGTAATGTGAGGTTAATTTAGACATGTGCATGCCTGTAATCCAGGGCAGTTAAGATGGGATAGATCACAGTGTGAGGATCCCATCAGAGGTCTCTCTCTCTTGTTCACACATACACAGAAGAAATAAGTATATGAACTTGAAAGGAAAATGAAAAGTGGAAACCTAACAAAGAAACTTTAAGAAAGTATTCCTGTTAGGTATTTCTCTTGCTATCAAACACCCTGTTGGGTAAAGTTTTCATAGTTGTTTCTTAACATTACCCTGAGCAAGCTTGCCATTTCTGTGGTGCATTAGCTAAAGTATTCCATTTCTAAGGCCAGAATCCAAGAACCCAGATGACAGCCAAGGCTGCTTCAGTTTGGAATGTTTATAGATTATATCATCCTCTTTTAACATGTTTTTACTTCCGAAACTCTTTAGGTTTAATTTTAAGACGTTAGTATTGCTGTTTTAGCAAATGAGTAAATTCTAACTGCACAGCTACAATGAAAAGTCATTAATATTTGCCATAACTAGGATATATTTAATAGCAATTGAGGTTAAGGACATTCTTTATCCTTTTTTAAAAAGAGGAATTCTGTTTCCAGTCGTCTTAAATTTTGAGGTAGATAGTTTGAAATATGCATATGTCTCACTGATACTGATTTTCATATTTGCCTACTGTAAGAGGTCTGCAGTATGCCAGGCACTTACCTTGTACTCACTCTCTCTCACCACAACAATCCTGTCACATGGTGTTATCTCCATTTTGCAAAGTGGGCAGTACTCAATGATGGTAAAGTTATTCACCCAGGGTCATATTAGGGAATAGAAGTGAGTCCAAATTACAAATTCTCATTCTAGATCTCTTGCATTCTCTACCAAGAGAGAAGCCTTTTACTTAAGGAAAGTGTGAACTTATGATCTTATTCATCTTTTGTTGACAACACATGATCATTTTGGAAATTACATTCTGAGTCTTTTCCATTCTTTTGGTGTTCATAGTTCTGAAGGTAGGGTAAAGCATGCCTTGGCATTTTCTTTGTATTTATTTTTAGTAAGTAGTTCATGTTCTGTTTTCTCTCTTTAGTGGCTCTTACTTCAACCCCAATTCGAGGAGCAGGAGATGGAATGGAAACTGAGGAGCCACCTCAGTCTGTTGAGGTCACGTCTGGAGTCCAGTCCATCAAGCACCATATCCTTCAGAGTCCACGGAAGAAAGCAGTCCCGTCTGAGAGCCCAGGAGTTCTTCAGCTGGGGAAGATTCTTGCTGAAAAAGCAGTGGAGGTTGAAGCTGTGAGAATATTAGTTCCCAAAGCTGCTATAATTCATGATCTTCCTAATAAAAATACAAAGGTTAAATCTCTGGGACATCATAAAGGAGAATTGTTTGGTCAGCCAGAGGGAGCTATAGAACCTAGGAAGGAACTCTCAGAGTTAAAGGTAATATTAGAAAAGCTTAAGAACTCTGAAAGGAGGCTACTGCAGGACAAAGAAGGTCTGTCAAACCAGCTCCGAGTACAGACAGAGGTAAGAACAGCCTTGATGGCTTTCTTGAGTCTTACTCCTTTAACACCTGGATCTCCTAAGCTTGCATGTTAGAAAACTGCATTTCTTCATGGGAATGCTATTTATCTATGTGTCTTCATGGATTTGTCATTTCTCGGGAACACTTCTCAAATGTATCATTCTCTGTCATGGCCTCTATAGTCTTAGAAACTTACACTCTAAGCCTGGTTAAACATGGAGATGTGAGGTATTTTGGACAAAACCACCTATATGTTGTAAAAGTAGGTTATAGTTATAAACTACCGGATCAAAGACCGGCCAAGTTAGACTTTGAAAAAATAGCAGTTGGCATAATGGCAATGTCGTTGGACTCCCATGTAGCCTCCTACCATGGTTCAAGTCCCGGACCTGGTGGCTTAAACTCATGCCAGGTGCAGGTGCGTGCGTGCCCAAGATCCTGAGAGGAGAATGGAGGAGAAGGGATTGCAGTGTGGCCATCCCCCCAGGGAGTGATTTCTCGCTTTCTGTTTCTCTGTCTCTCTCTCTTTCTGGTGAGTGCATACGCCCTATAGCAAAAAAAGAAAAAGAAAAAATGGACTTGTTAGCAAGCCATGTTTTTGGATCCATAAATCCCAAGTACTTTTGCCTGTTTACACATGATGCTTGGAATGAAGGGAATGGTGGTATAAGGCATTGTATTGTCATTGAAAACAAAAAGTAATCTATAGTGTTTAATGGTGTTGCTTTACTTTACCATCTTATTAAAATGACTGTACCCTCCCCTCCCTTGTTTCTTTATTAGACTATACATCTTTTAGTTAGATGCTGGTCCTCATGACTCTGGTTAGCATCTCTCATCTAAATATATTTCAATGTATTTAATAGTATATTTTAATATGTTTTAGTAAGTTTTTTTGGAGAGGTTTTTGCTATAGGGCGCATGTGCTCTCCAGAAAGACAGAAGAGAGAAATAAAGTGAGAAATCACGCCCCCCGGGTTGGATGGCCATCCCGCAATCCTTCTCCTCTATTCTCTCAGGATTTTGGGCACACACACACATGCGCCCATTGTGAGTTTAAGCCATCAGGTCTGGGACTCGAACCGCGGTTGGCTACATAGGAGTCCAGTGACATAGCCATTATGCCAACTGCTGGTCCCTGTTTTAATAATTTTTAAGTAACTGTTCTCTGATTACAAATGCACATATCCATTTGTAAACATTTTAGGAAATAGGAACACAGTGAAAATGGTGCCATCTATAATCGTACTATTCAGATATAGCTGTATAAGTATACACTATCAAGTTCATTCTGTGTTTTTGTTTTTTTAGTTTGCTATAGGCACATGTACTCAGGGAAGAGAAAGAAAGTTCCCCTTGGGGAATGGCCATGTTGCAGTCCCTGTTCTTTCATTCTCCTCTTGAGCCTCTGGGCACACATGTACACACACTCAGTGTATTTTTCAAGCCACCAAGTTTGGGACTCTGAGCCACATAGTCAGCCTTGAGAGATCTAGTCACCCTAACCACCACATCACTGACTGGCCTACTTCGTCTAATAACCTGCTTTCTTTAGTTGTTAATCTTTTCCCATGACACAGAATATTCTATTACAATATTATCAATAGCCACAGTGTTCTTTAGTGGCTGTACCATATAGCAGTACTTGCTATTAGACATTTGTTTTAATTTTTTTCTTTTTCTTTCTTTTTTTTTAAAGAGAGATTTTTTTACTAAAGATTGTATGCACTCACCAAAGAGACAGAAAGCAAGAAATCACCCTCTAGAGTTATGGCCACACTACAGTCTCTTCTCCTCCATTCTCCTCTCTGAATTTTGGGTGCATGTGTCCAGCTTGAGTTTCAAGCCACCGGTTCCGGGACTCAAACCACAGTCAGCCATGTGGGAGCCTAACAACGTAACCATTACGCTATCGCCATCTGCTGGTTCCAAGTTTTGCTTTTTTTAATAACAAAAAAATGTACTTATAGATATTATTGGGTTTCTTTCTTTGCCTAGATTTTTTTTTTTTAAGAGATTTTTGCCTTATGGTGCATGTGCTTGCCAGAGAGAGACAGACAGACAGACAGTGAGAGGGAAAGACAGAAATAACTCCCCCCATGGGGGACAACCAAGCCACAGTCCCTTCTCCATTCTCCTCCTGGGATCTTGCACATGCACACACATCGCCTGGCATGAGTTTCAGTTCACCTGGTGTGGGAGTTGAGCTGTGGTCGGCCATGTGGGAGTCCAGCAACATAACCACTACGCCATCTGCTGGTCCCCTTTGCCTAAATTCTTAAAAGTAAAAATCTTAAGGTACAAAGAAATTTATAAATGTCTAGTAAATTTGTCAGTTCTTTTAGCAAAATTTATTGTTTTCATTTTTTGATTTTTTTTTCTTAAAGAGTTGAGTGGAAATAGTTTATTGTTTTCATGATATTGATTTGTACCATGTTAGAAGAGGCCCAGCTTATGATTACACAAACTGTAGAGAAGATACAATTTTGTGTATTGCAAAACTTAAGTATTCAAAATCACTTTTGACATACACTTGTTTTTAAAGGTTTGCTATAGGGCTCATGCACTCATTAGAAAGGTGCACAGAGAAAGAGGAAGTGAGAAATCACCCCCTCGGAGAGATGGTCACAGCACAATCCCTTCCATTCTTCTCTCAGGATTTTGAGAACATATGCATACATGCCTTGTTGTTTTTCTTTTTTCTTTCTTTCTTTTTTTTTTTTTTTTTGAGAGGTTTTTGCTATAGGGTGCGTGCACTTGCCAGAAAAACAGAGAGAGACAGAGAGAAAGCGAGAAATCACCCCCCAGGAAAGATGGCCATGCCGCAATCCCTTTTCTTGGGATCTTGGACACGCACCACATGCCCAGCATGAGTTTAAGCCACCAAGTCTGGGATTCAAACCACATACTTGGTCATATGGGATCTAGCCCCTTTACCGCCATATCACCTGCTGACCTTAAGTAGTTCAGTTACACTGAAACACAGTTTCCTTTTGTTACTTTTGTTATTCTGAAGCCATTACTTTGGGCTCATGTTATTTATGTTCTGTTCTAGGTAAATCGTGAGCTAAAAAAGCTGCTGGTGGCTTCTGTTGGGGATGATCTTCAGTATCACTTTGAACGTCTAGCCCGAGAGAAAAACCAGCTTATTTTAGAAAATGAAGCCCTAAGTCGAAGCACTGCTCAGCTTTCTGAACAGCTGGAACGTATGTCAATACAGTGTGATGTATGGCGAAGTAAATTCCTCGCAAGCAGGTATACCTACTGTAAATAGTATCCCGTTTCCTAGTTTCTGCTCTATCCAGTCTTTCACCCATAGCACAGGAAAGGAGACTGTAGTGTGAACATTTCTAATTAGGGGGGATGGCAGGTGCTGAAGTCCCACATGACTGACTATGGTTCAAATCCTGGACCTGGTGGCTGGTTCTCTCACTGACTTTCTCTCTCTCTGTCCCTCTCTGGTCAAAAATTAAATAAGTAAACTTAAATACAATAATTCAAAAAAAGAAAAAATTTTCTAATTAGGGGCCAGCTCTCAGGGGCAGTGGTAACACAGACTAACCAAGTGAAGCCAGATCCCACATGGTAACTGCAGTTTGAATCTCTAGCCTAATCAGCCTGATCCATTCATGCCAGGCACATTCCAGAATGCCCAGGATCCTGTGACTGGAGGACTGGAAGAAAGGGATCACACACGGCATGACCAAACTGTGTGGAAGCTGCTTTTCTTTCTCTCTCGCATGCACTCTAATGCCTGTGCACATTACCGTGAATAAAGAAAAAAAATAATTCTTCTGCGGCTTTTGTTTTGTTTTGTTTTGTTTTTGCTTTTTTTGGAGAGATTTTCACTATAGGGCGCGTGCGCTCACCAGACAGACAGAGAGAGAGATAGAGGCAGAAAGCTAGAAATCACCCCCCAGGGGGGATGGTCACACCGCAATCCCTTCTCCTCCATTCTCCTCTTGGGATCTTGGACACGCACACACACGCGCCTGGCGTGAGTTTTAAGCCACCGGGTCCGGGATGCGAACTGTGGTTGACTACGTGGTAGTCCAGCGACATAACCATTACGCTAACTGCTGGTTCCCCTGATTAGGTTTTCAGAGTACTTCATTTATTATTTAAGGTGCAGATTGTTCTTCCTCCAAAGGGGGAGGCAAGAGAAACATCCTCCCACATTCCTGAGTTCCAGGTTACTGTTGTATTGTGGAAACCATTCCAAGCGCAACGTATAAGAACAAAATCATAAACATAGACTATTAGTAAATATTAAAATCACAAAAAGCTGCACTAAATTATTTTCCCACACTTCTATCTGGAAAACCCAAACATCATTTTCACTCCCTAAACTAATATTCATCCTTCATCACACAATAGAGGTCTCAGCCATTTTCTCTCTGTGCACAAATAGAAAAGTATGCCATTTTCACGACATACTGTATGAACTACTCCAAGATAGAAGTTGAAACTCCAGGGCCATAATCCAGGCCTCTGAACGCACTGGTGCTTGGAAAACTGCCATATATTATCTGCCATATATTTGTCTGTTTTTCTTCTTTATCTCTCAAGTTTGAGTTATGAGAGAACAAGATGTTCTTTATCTGGATGTTCTTTATCTGGATATTTCTGGTGCTTAGCAAACTGTTTCATACATAGTATATTTAATAACTATTAGTTTAAATTGAATCATCTCACAAAACACCATAGATTTTCAGGCAGTACTTCAAGAACCAGTGATTGTTGGTGAATAAATTTTTAGGAAAGTTTTTCCTCATTATTCTAATACATATGGTATTTTCTAGTAGTTTATTACTCTCTTAAAGTTCTTAATTTACTTGTTTTCCAATTGTGCCAGTATACTCTACTATCTGGAGAAGTAAACTTAACATTTATTGACTTTGGAATGAAGTTCTTACTGAAAAGTTTAAGAGGCAAGTCATGCGTGTTCTTTAGATTATTGCAATATGTAACTTTTTTCAACATCCTGATCTACACTAATATTAACATACTAAGGGCAATCAAGATTAAACTCAATTTTATGGGTATCTTTTTTTTTTTATTTATTTACTAGAAGATGTGCACATATAAGAGATAGAGAAATTGAGAGAGAAAACGGAGAAAGCACCCCTCATGGGGAATGGTCACACCACAATCCCTTCTCCTCCATCTCTTCCCTGCTTTCGGGACTTTGGGCATGCACTCACATGCACCCAGTTTTTTTTAAACCACCTGGCCAGGGACTCAAACTACACAATCAACCATAGGGAACTCAGCTGCTTTAACCACCACCCCATGAAGCTATACCTATTGATACCTTAATTGATTTATCCTTTTGATGTCAAATTATTTTCAACTACTATTAAGTTCAATAGTAAATGTGTTCTGAGACATAAATTTTAACAGTTGTGAGGCCAGCCATATTTTAAAGTTGTGTGTCAATTCCATCAATAGAGAATTGGTTAAATAAATTGAATACATCCAATTAGCAGAAAACATGAAGCTTTTTAAATAAAAAGATAATGAAATAGCTGTATCTTTTAATAAGGAAAAATCTGTAAGATAAATTAAGTGACAAAAACAAGATGTAGAAAAGTTTGTATTGAATACTCACTTTTTATAAATAAAACGTATATGTATGTTTTTAATACAAACTTTTATGTTGAAATATTTTAATTTTTATATATTTTAAAACATTTACTAACTTTTTACAAATTTGATCAACCTAAAATAAGATGGTGGTGCATTCCAAATAGTCACTATACAGCAGAGTTAAATAACTGTTTCCTTTGTTCTGTAAATGAATTTTTAACTGTATCTCTAATGAACTCAAAGCTCATAACATTTTAAAATGTTTTTTGCTGAAAATTTAAAAACTGCGAAGTAAATCATCTTTATTAGTGGTGAAGTGACAGTTACAAAGTAGTTGGTTAACTTCTGTAAACTATGTTTTTGCTAGAGAATTTATGTGTAAGAGGTTCTTCTCTTTCAGGGTCATGGCAGATGAGCTAACCAACTCAAGAGCCGCACTACAGCGCCAGAACCGCGATGCGCACAGTGCGATACAAGATCTCCTGAGTGAGCGAGAACAGTTCCGTCTGGAGATGACAGCCACTCAGAAGTACAGTCTGCTTATACACCACACTCCACACTCCTCTGCCTTCGTCTGGATCTCATGTTATTGACAGTTTCCTTCATCTGTCTGCATGTGATATCTTCCCCAACACATATTTTGAGACACACTTGGCAGTGGATGCCCTGGGAGGGAGGAGGACTAAACACTGAAGACATGCCTTCTATTCACATTCTTAATTTGAGAGAGAATTAGCTTTATCTATAACAGAAGAAATTCAGGACTTACAAGAGGTTTTTGGTTATAGCTGTAGGGGTTATGTATAGTTTTTGTTGGAAGCCAAGGAATCTATTTGTCTTTCCTATGGAAGGACCTCTTTTATTTTTTTTATTTTTATTTTTTTTTTTTTGAGAGGTTTTTGCTATAGGGCGCGTGCGCTCGCCAGACAGACAGAGAGAGACAGAGAGATAGAAAGCAGGAAATCACCCCCCAGGGGGGATGGCCACGCCGCAATCCCTTCTCCTCCATTCTCCTCTCGGGATCTTGGGCACGCACGCACACGCGCCCGGCGTGAGTTTAAGCCACCGGGTCCGGGACTCGAACCGCGGTCGACTACGTGGGAGTCCAGCGACATAGCCATTACGCTAACTGCTGGTTCCTGGAAGGAGCTCATTTTTAAGATCTATAGAATTAGAGCTTGTTTTCATGTCTACATACTCCAAAACTATCAAATTGACAGTCTTTCTTAAAGTTCTTTGTAGGTTTATATAATTGACTTATTACTCAGTAAGAGTCAAAGAGTAAATTATAAGTGAAATTGAATGAAAACACAGTATCAAAATGTCAATTTGTGAGGGAAGTTTGTAGTTTTCAATGCTTATTTTGGAAAAGAAGAAAGGTCTCATCAATAATCTAAGCTCCTCATTGAGAAACACCAAAAACAATCTCCAAGTAAACAGAAGGGAGAAAATAACAAGAATGAGAGCTAAAATAAATAGGAAGCCGAATACTATTAATAGTTTGTTAAATAAACTTGGGAAACTTCTAAATAGTCTAATCAGGGGAATAAAGAGAGCAGACACATCAATATCAAGAATGAGGTATACACTATAGTTTTATGGTCCTAAAAGATAGTAAGAGAATGTTATGAATAACTATGCCAATAAATTCAGTTGTTTAGATAAAATAAATTTAAAAGATAAACTGCCAAAAGTTTTTCAAGAACAAATAGATAAGTCTGAAGAGCCCTAAGCTATTAAAGCAATTGAATCTGTAGTTAAAAACCTTCCAATAAAGGGGATTCCAAGCCTCTATAGATTTGCTGGTGAATACTAGTAAATATCTGAATACTAGTAAACATCTGAGGAAGAAATAAAACTAAACACAAATTATAGAAAATAGAGAAGGGAACAGCTTCCAGCTCATTTTATGAGGCCAAGATTATCTTGATAACAAAATCAGAGACTTCACAAGAAAACCACCCACCAGTATCTCTAATGGCCATAAATGCAGAAATCCTTAACGAAATTTCAGTGAATCAAATTGAACAATATAGAAAGGAGCATATTATATGTTCTCACCTAGTAGGACTAATCCCAGGAATTGTAGGTTGGTTTAACATTCAAAAGTCAATTAATGTAATTCACCAGAAAAGAAATATATGCACTAATCGATCAGTAGGTTTGATGTTAAAATATGAGAACTAAAGAAAGTACGGTTTGTTGACTAATTTCCAGATAATAAACTAGTAGATTGATAGATGTTTTCTGTATTCTAACTTGCTTGAACAGACTTCCTCTTTTATTGAACTCAGAGAAAGAAAAATAAGGGACAGAGGTCTTATATTGTTTTTCATTTATTTACTGTGACTGATTTCTGTATTTTTGTCCTATTTTTAACATTCAGTGTTCATGTGTATTCTATGCAGATTGTTGGAGGAACTCTTAATTTCTCTGCAGTGGGGAAGAGAGCAGACTTACTCTCCTGTCGCACAGCCCCACAGCACAGCAGAACTAGCATTAACAAATCATAAGCTGGCTAAAGCAGTACATTCTCACCTCCTGGGAAACGTTGACATTAGTAAGCCAAAGAAGATAACATCAACAGTTGAATTCTGCAGCACCCCAGCTGAAAAAATGGCTGAATCGGTAAAATGTTTTCTCCTTTGTGATTTGTGTCATCTGTGTTCCCCTTCATAAAAGGACATAACACAGAGAAACTCCTTTCCCTGGTTCATTTCACAGTGCCTATCCAGTTGCAGTGCCTACTTCCCTTGCACAGTCACCCATGTTCATCATGTGATGGTGCTTGGGAGAATGTGCACATGAAGGCTGAACTGTGAACCAGACATTTGATCATTGCCTGTAATTGGAGAACTTTTTGCAACCCGAGTTCTAAGGTCTTGGGTCTCCATAAAAGACAATTTGGAAAAAGTCAAAGCAGGAGTAGAATGGGGAGAGTATGGTGTTGTGGAACTCAGAAACAAGAAAATGGTTGTTAGCAGAAAACATCACAAATGCGAAAAAGAAAATGAAAAGGCATAATTTTACAAATAAAAACTAAAGTATTCAAAGACTTTGGAATAGCATTTTACTGTGAGGTGACTTCAGAAAATTTGTGGGCTAATGGAAATAAAATATGAATGTGTTTTGGTGCAAAAATAATTTTGAAATTTATGCATAGTTTTTTCATGATAATGCTTTCCATGAACTTTTTGAAGACCCTCCATAGAATGAAAGCAGAGTCTTTATTCCAAGCAATTGAATGAAAGATTAAAAAAAGCAGGTAGTAGGTACTTTTCAGTCAAGGATAAAAATTGACACAGCCTTATTTTCTTCCACGTTTTTATGCTTTCCATAAATATCCATAAAAAAAGCATTATTTGATCATTTTAAAAAAATAGGTAACTTGGGTACTGTAATAACCAAGCATCATTGTTAAATTTAGAGCCTTTTCATAAAAGTAGTAAATTTTCTTAGTGAAATTCATCATTCAGGTTTTTAACATGTAGTTTCATATTAGCAAAATTCACCTCTATACAGGTAGTTGTACATCACTGAAACCACAAGCTTTTCCAGTCCCTACTGCACGTAAGACATTGCCTCTTATTTTCCTTAGGTTCTACACATTTTGGATCCAGCTTCTTGCACAGAAAACTGTCCTGATAATCCATTTGCTGAGTTATCTCCAATCACCTAACTTGCTACAAACAAAAATATTGGATGATTTCCTCCCTATACTAGATATGAAAATATAACTTTCAATTGCTGCAATCACTGCCAGGGAGAACTTATTGCACTTTAACATTTAATATGTTGGAGGCATACTACAGGTACTGTCTTATTACTCAAGGGTCATTACTTGGGAGCTGGGCTCTTATAATGCTAGAAGTAATATCACTTTCTATTTACAGATTGTATATCCCCAAAGATATTTTATATGCTGGACTCCAGATTGCCCTTTCTTAATAAATATCTCAGGGTAAGAAAAGAATAAAGCTACATAGATATAATTACAATAGATAATACTTTCCAGATAATACATGATGTCTCTTCTAAAGCTCACCAAAAGAAAAGGATTTCTGGAACTTTCTTTTAAGCCCTAAACTTTTATTTATCTTGCTGGATATTTTCTATGAACAGGTTTGATTTTAGGGTGCTAATGAAAGGATAGCCAAACTATAACCATATAGAAATATGGTCATACCCATTCATTTCCTGTCCAAGCTATTTCTGCTCTTCAAGCAGAGTTGAATAGATGCTGATGGGCTTGTATGGCTT